AAAGCTATTAGATCACTTACCAGAAAGCGTGTGAAAGATTTATGTCTGTATATTTTCAGAAGTGACCCTACTGAAGTAACCACATCTATGATTCTGTAAACATGGCATTAGGGAAGCAAAATCAGACTTATTATGCAACTAACATTTAGAAAGAAGGTACATATTGGCAAAATGCTATTTTTTACTATAGTCTGGACTTGATTCACAGAGCAGAAAACCATTCAATAGCAGGATAAATTCCTTATTTGTGATGCCATCTCCCTCTTCAAAATGGTTGGTAAGACTTATTCCTACATTGTCTTCCACTCTTTCTTTCAGCCCCATGCAAGGTGGGTCATCTTTGAACTTCTTCCATCAATTAAGTAATAAAGCTTGCCCAAGAACATGTGAGAATTAACTGGATAGCTTTGCATGGTATAATTACTGATGTACTAGGTATACTTATGTAAATGTGCCATATACCCATTCCAAGAATGGGAAACCTGTGGTCTTCCAGATGTTGTTGGACTACAACTGTTAGCAGCCCCAGACAGCATAGTCATTCATCAAGGAATCCAACACAACTGTAGTCCAACAAAATCTGGAAGGCCATCAGTTCCTATTTTTGATTTACAATTTTGGCATAAAACAGTCTACAAACTCCCATTTCTCTACTCACATTCTTCAGATTTGGTCTTATTATCTTGGGCTGCTAACACAACTAACAACTTGGCTTAACTACATATGTTTAGCTACAGAGGAAAGGAGAAAGACTTCCACTGACAGATGAATCCTGGTAGGCAAATGGGGTACAACCACCCCATTATAATGGGGTATAACCACCCCAGTAGTATAAGCCCACTACACCTTTTTACAACAACATATTGGATATGCAGGGCTCTGACAATGTTCAAACATCTTAAAGTAACAGTCTGAGGTATCTCTAGTGCCACCCATACCAGTCACTTTTTCTACTCATTTCTGCACTACATAACTTTTTGTGTTACCACTGTGCCATATCTGTCAATGCAGATCATTGCTAACATAGTAATATCAACCCATGCTTTCTATGCCTAGTTTAATGTCTTTTCCATAGTCCTGAAAGCAGTGGGACAGGAAACACGAGTCACAAATGTTTCTTTGCTTGCTGATCTTGCTGTCTATGGGATAGAAAGAGCAGCTCTCAGACTGTAAGTCTAAGTACTAATGGTGATGAAAGACACTAATTCATCACATAATAGAGAACACAGTGGCCACTTTTTCGCTGTCCATGCAGTGTATGAGAAATGCTACCAATATATTTCTTGAGGAAAATCACATTTATCTTATTGGCAATGGGACAGGAACTCATGCTTATACGAGCAAAAGGCTTTCAAAAATAGCATGTAAAATTTCATAAAATGAAAAAAATCATGCTCATTATCCCATAAAACTATATGGGAAAAGAAGCAAAGGTATGTGTGAGATTTATTTTCATAGAAAATATACCCAAGCTCAGTTACTTACAATTTACTTCCACTGAAAAGATATATAACAGTGACCTGTTTCTGCAAGCAGCAAGTCCTTGCAGTAGATCAATGCCGTAGAGCCCCAGGCACTTCAGAACCAGCCCCCTCCTTCTAAAAACAAAACAAAACACCCCCCCCACAAGCTAACAGGTTCTTATTTATCTCATTATCACGTAGCCAATTATTTCCAAGATGAATAGGGAAGCAAAGGAGTCCAACTAAGTTCTGGGATATTTCCAAAGAAATGCAGAGTATTTTTAAATTTTAAATTAGATTTAATTTTCCTCTAGAGCTTTGTAAGTGAACTGTTAGGACATGGCAAATTCTGTAGACCTATACACATGTTTCCTATTGTGTATTAAAGATGGTACAAGTAGACATAGGATTTTGGATGGCATGAAGCCCCTTTGTGGGCTACAAACATGAAGGGCCAGTGGGGCTGCAATTTAGCCTTCTCTCTGATATCACACAACTTCTCTAGTTTTCAGCTCCACCATCCATTCAAACATATAGGCAGTAGACACAGGACCCGGAGGAGTTTGCTCTTTCACGTGATTAGAGAACAGCTATCAATTTGCACAAAAATGAATGGGTTCCCTTGGAAGGGTAACAACTGTTCCAACTGTCGATGCCATGTTAGTGGTTCACAGAGGCCTTCTTCTAGCAAACTATTTGCTTGTCCCTCCATTTTGGCTTGTGACTCGTTACAACTGTTTTTTTTTTTTTTTTAATTTATTATATTTAGCCCACTTTTCTAGCCAGGGACAAATGAACCACCTTACAGGATAAAAACCATAAAACACAGGTATTAAGTACTCATCATATGTATATTATGGATGGTATTAAGTGGGCATAGTGGAAGATCAAATCTCACTGCTTGGTGCTACACTATATTACTTTCACACATACCCTCTGCAAGGTTGGAAGTGGAAATCTGTGGCAATCTACATTCAGTGTTTCCTTTGAGCATTGATACTTGTTAATTTTGAAGAAGAGTTATCATTACTAGGAAATTCAGTGTAACAGAGCCAACATATTAGCTGCCGCTACTGTGTGTGCTGAAGACCATTCCTCTTGTGCAAGCTGTCCAGTTCACTGAAGAAATTAATTCTGATACCAATTGCTTAAGTCTCTTTCTTTTCCACAAAGTACCTTTAGGCTGAACAATGTTTGTTTCAAAAAAATTCATGAGGATGTTAAATTATTTAAATGTTAATAATTTTGAATCATACCAATATTTTTGTGGAAGCAAAAAGATGAAGTTCCTAAGCAATAGAACAAATTAGAATTCACATGTGTTTCTATGTTTCATCTTCTGTTTTTCAGTGAATGTCTGCTGTTTGCTAACAGTATTCCCTTTCGGCAAAAGACAGAATGCTGTCCCTTCAGACTGGAGTAGCAAATAACAAATCTAATGATAAATAGTTTCTAAGGAGGATAATTTAGGAATAGTCATCTCTTCATTTTCTTCTATACAGTGACTAGAGATAGACAAATCTGTCAGTTCGGATTTCCCTCAATTTCTCATTCTTCCAATCTTAAGTTTGGTTGCCTTCTACTTTAAGGATTTCTCTAGTCATAAGTTCATAACTTTAAAAAAAAAACCCTAACACATTTTTGCAAGGTTTTTGTAATATAATGCTTATTTGAACATTGTTTTCTCTAATACAAGAGAACATTTATATACATTTTTGACTGCAGCACTCCATTGCAAAATTCAGAAAAGTACAAATTTCAAAGGATAAGCATTTTGACTTGCATAGTAGTTTGAAAGAACAAAATTAAAATGTGAACGTAATGAATTTCTCCACCATCACTGAATTAGTGACATAGTCAACCACATTTGCAACAGCTGAGTATGAACTCCATTTCCCTTGTGGCAGCTGCAGGTAATCTATCTTCAAAGGTAGAAGACAGCAAAGGACATGGGGTGTAACCCCAGGTATTGCCAACAAACTTTAACCCAATCCAGAATTCATATTGTTAACACATGGGTTTTGAAGGCATGAGACTAGGCCCGCTATTTCTATTCCAAACAACCTTGAATGTAAGTGAGACACCACTTACACAATCTGAAGTGTAAGTGGTGTCTCAAATGCACATCTGCAGGCTTTTTCCTGCAGCTGAGGACCTTGCCTTTCGGCTAGTATACACAGATTCTAAACAGCTAAAAAAGATAAGGGAGTATCATGTGGTGTTCGGGCAACTGGAATTCTAAACATGCTCAGAAATTTGCATGTGGGGTTGCAAAGGAAAATAGCGAAAGTGAAACAAGTGAAAGTAGCCTTTGTTGAGGAAGCAGGCCAGGTGCTACCTATTGGATTATAATTCAGATGGTAAGAGGAGTTGTTTGATAGGGTTGGCATATGACTTGGATAGCTGGGTTTTGTCAAATTCTAGGCATACCACATGCTGTTTGTTTAAGTTATCATTTGACTGGAATTCTTAGCTTTCATTCTTTGAAGAAGAAAAAGTAAGTCTCTAACACTTGTGGATTCAGTGCTATAAGGAAAAATGTAAAAATAGTAATGAATTGTTCAGCAAAAAGCCAGCATGTTTCCACTTCTATTATCCTGACCAATCAGGCTAGAGGATGGACATCAATGAAATAACTGATGTGCAAGCAAAGCAATAATAATCAGCCTGGAACTAAAGGCAGGAATGGGAATTCTCAAATTTAGTTTGAGATCTACCATGGTCCCCAAAATCTGTTGGGACAGCAGCAGGGAGTGAAATGCTGGTTTGGGCATAATAGCAATTTATGGTTTGTTTAACTCATGAGTTGTAGGGACCATGCAGAAGTACAGAAGCACACAACCTCTTGTCTGTTTGCCGCTTCCTCTTTGCATTTGGTTTCCCAAACAGTGCAAGGATGCCCCATCCAAAGTGCAAGTACAACATTCAAACCCAGAACTCTGAGAAGCTGAAGGCAAACAATTCAGAGTTTGAAACCATTGTGTCTTGTTAGGTTAAAACTCTGGGTTGTTTGCCCTTCAACAATGGTTCCAGTTAGAGATGTCACTAGAAACGAGGCATCCCTGGACTCCTTATGAAATTCAATGCAGAGTGGAAGCAGGAACTGCACAGGAGGCAGCATACTAACTCATTTCTGCACTGCCCTGACAATGCAATGTTTAAACAAGCCATGAATTGCTGTTACATGTAAACTGGATCATAGAGTTAATTTTCAATCTCTGATTACCCCCAGAGTCCCAAGTCTGTTCCCTAAGCTGCCATAAGGGCTTCCTAACAAGAATTTTTTGATATTCCCCTGTTAAAAATGCCTTATATGGAAAAATGCTAAATTTGATGTGGGTAATTCATTCAGAATACAGAAAGCACCGTACTAAACAACCATTTCCTTTCAAACACAGGGAAGGTCTAGGCTACAGTTTATTACATAGAGTACTTCCCTGCCTTCTGCTTAATTGTGTTTTCTCAATACATCAAAATAACCAAGAGAGGAAGATGGGTAAACGTGATCAAAATCTAGAGCAAAATAACAGCTCATACCTGAATTAGTGGTTTTAGCAGCTCTTCCTTTAGGGGCTGGGAGTAACAATAATTCCAAGGACTGTGGTGGAGTTAGTTTCTCTTGCTTCATGTCTGAGAGCTGCAGGGGATCCTCTGCAACCAGAGACTTTTTCTTCTCAGCCAAAAGACTGCCTGCAGCTCTTGCAGCAACCTCCTTGAGTAGAGCTGCAGAAGAAGTCATTGAGGCGAGAGAAAGGAAAGAACTAGCTGGCGGTGGGTGGTCCTGCCCAGGAGTCATGCTTCTTTCACTGACTTTCTTTGATAACGCAGCTAAGGTGGAGCTTGCAGACTGAGAACTAAATGGAGAAGAAAAGGTTTCAAACCTTATTGGATCTTCAGTTCGAGAAAGCGACTTGTCCTGAAGGACTGCATTGGCTGCAGCTTTCAATTTTAGAATGGCTGAATCTGGAGACAAGCCGCAAGGTGGCGTTGAGTTGGGTAACCACTTGCCTTGATTCCAAATAAACCGGTTGTTAGCGCCATATTGGTTATTTTGTTCCTGTTTTTCAGCCAGCTTTCTAGCAAGGACACTTAGCTGCTGAGCATGATGCGTAGGTGCAGAAAAGGAGATATTTGAGCCAAGATTTACAGGGGACTCAACCCTGCCGTTCACTGTGATACTAGTGTCTACCTTGAGAGAACCAGCCTCCAGCAGACGTCTCAGGTTACTACTCAGTGGCTTATTTGTGCCAGGAGTATCATCTTCACACGCAGAAGACACAACTGGGGAAAGGTGTTCTTTATTCTGTAACACATCCCTTACAGCCTCATTCTCAACAGCTCCCAGTTCCAGTGTGTTGCTGCTAGGAGTCACACTCCCCAAGGAAGTATCTGGAGATGTGGACTGTTCTTGGATCCTATCCTCAAAGGATAATTTGAAGTTTTCCTGAATTTCTCCATAAGATGCTTCTGACGGTGTTTCTGAAGAGTTTCCAAACCAGTGCTCTTCCTCGCTAAGTTCACCTTCACCGTCTTCTTGTCTAGTACCATCTGTGGAGAACCAAAGGAAATCACTTTCATCTAAAATTCTGGCCAAGTTATACATGCAGTGGTAAACGGCTGAGGCCAATTGGCTCAACTTTATCATATCATGTTAGCTTGGTATAACTTTAGAAAGAGATAAAGTTATACAACAATATAACTAGGAAAGGAAAACTGTAACCTGAAATAAGGACACAGAGAATGCTTTAGGGCTTTAATGTACAAGAGTTATACACTTGATCTGTAAACACAACAAATCTATTTGCACCAAGTGTCTGTCACAGCTGGCCATTTACTTGGTGATATTATTTAAATCAGCAAAGCCAATGGGACTCGGATATTGACAGTACAGTGTACATCTGATTAAATATTGGAATGTTTTTAGAAGAGTCATGAGGCATTAAAGTAACTAACATAAGTAATTATCCTATGCGAGCCAGCTTGGTATAGTGGCTGGAGGTCTGAACAGACACTGAGGTCTAGTTTCTAGCTCCCATTTAGCTCTAAAGCTCACTTAGTTCCTTTGGGCCAGGCACTGACTCTTAAGTCTAGCTTGCCTCAAACAGTTGTAGTTGTAGGAATAAAATGGAGGAGAACCCTGTAAGCTCTCCTGGACACTTTGCAAGAAGAAAGGCAGCATATAGATATGATGTAATAATGATTATGAAAACTGGGCAAGACATTTCTTAAACAAAATAATTAATAAAATATTATATTATCTATTTATTGTATTTCTTTGTTGCTTTTTTGAGCCTACCCAAAGTGGCTGACAAAAAATTCAAAACGTAAAAGACATCTTATCATGGAAATATAGTAAAACATTAAAAAACATGTAAAATCTAAAAAATTTAAAAGATAAGTTGAAAAGATGTGTTCTAAGCCCTTTTCTTGAATGCAGAGAGGGTAGGGGCCTGTCACAACTCCAAAAGGAGTGTATTGCAGTGCCTGGGGACAACATGGAAGAATGCTCCAAAGAGCCATGCGTTGTATTAGGTGCCACCCTTCTGAATGCACTCTGGTACTCTTCAACAGGGCTAGCCTACACAGGCAGAGTGAGGCTGCTATCGCAGGTGGCAGATGCTAGGGAGGTGAAGCTGCAGCAAGGTGTTGGAGAAGAGAGCCATGGCTGTAATGCAGCCTGCCCTACACCTACCTAAGCAAGCATGCAGCCCTGAGATGGAGGATGCTATGCCCTCACCATCATTAAGATAATGTTTCAATTGTCAGTTCCATTAGCTTCTATATATAAAATGGGAGGGGGTGACATATTGTTCTTCACCTCAGGGAGTAAAATGTCTAATCTGGAAGACTGGACTATTTTTCCAAAGTAGTGTCTGGAAAAATTGGAAGATCATCCAACACAATATTCTGTCTTGCACAAGTGCACTTTTATGGATATTTGGAAGGCGTTTCCAGAAGTTTTAAGCAACTCAGTCCTGGATAACATCACATATAGGTAAAGTCTTAATACATATAACTATTTTTAAACAGCTATATTTTATGCTTAGGTTGAAAGAAAATGGATTAATCTTTTCTCTCTATTGAAATAGGTTCTTCTTTTCCACTTATCTAAAAACAAAAATGCCAGCTGGTTTCTCCAGGGATCAGAACCGGAACAGCTCTTTCACAAGATTGAATTCTAAAGGAAAAAGTTAACATGAAGAGCACTTTCAATAGAATTGTAATTTTTTCAATTGAAAACTGTTTGCTTCCTTAACCACATTTTCTCATCACTGGCAGTTCCAACATACCTTCTTTCTCCTGAGATCTGACTGGCAGTGTTTAAAGGGCAGTGACCCTGGATTGCTCTTGTTCACAATAGGCATTCAGAAAGACACAGATATGACCAAAGAATTTTTTGTGCATCAGACTGGCCAATCAAAATGTAGTCAAGAACAATAGTGATGTTAAAATGAAATGGATGCTATTCCTTTCTGCCAGAGATCTTTCTTAGCATGATTGCTTCGAGAAGTGAATGTTCCATGGCATCAAGGTAGTTACAGAGATACATGAATCACGAAACCATTTGGTGGCTAGGGTGGGGGCAGAGAACTAATCACATGGATGTTGGGACTATACAGTAAACAAAGTGACTAAAAAATGACTCTAGTGAGGTTAATAGCCAAACTTCCAATTATTTGATGAGAGATACAAGCAAACAGAATTATTCCTTGAGCTCATATTCATGTCCATCAGGCACATGGAAACACTCAACAATTTCTGAATAAATTAAACTTTTCCTCTGAGTAAAAGACAAAACGAAATAATAAATATGAGCATTTTCACATGATCTTAACAGTAATTAGCTATTATGAGGATTAGGGTTAGGATTAAGGTGAAGTGTTTTGCAGTGGAGAGAGAGTTTGCTTTCAGCATTCATGCTCTTCTACAGAAATTTGCATCCCTTTTTTCAATAGAATCTTATTTTGGTAATGGGTTTGTTTAGCATTCTCTGAAGCCCCCAAATCTGCGGAAACCTCTTAACTTGAAATCATAATACATGAACAGTATGGTCCTATGCAGTGGAGTGTTGATTAATACTGTTCTTGGGAGTTGAGTTTAGAGCTCAATTACATGAAGGGGTAAGGATTTGCTTCCAAAGCTGCTCCCAATGTTATCTGCTCCCATCCCATTCCATCCTTCACTGAGTCTCTCTCAACATGCCAAAAGGGACTTCGTGGATGAGTCAGGTCTTCCATGGTCAAGGGGCAAGATTTGGAAAGGTAACCTCTGTGAGCCAGATTGGGACTTTTAGCAGGAAAGATCAGGTCCACAGGCTGGGGGTCTGATGTTCCTACTATTCATACTTAAATATACCTCAATCAGTATATGAAATCAAATGGTCTTACATTTTCCTAGCTTTGTCCAGGACTTGCAACCAGGTATGGTAAAAATAGTTCAGGATACCATCTAGAATAAATAAAGTTTTAGTCCTATGCACATTTACTCCGCAGTAAGTCCCATGGGGCACACCACATAAATACACATAAAATTGAGCTATAAGGAAGAATTACCCCCGATTGTTGTGGGATGTGTTTAGCTTAAGGTCTAAGCAAACCAGCATCTTAACCTTGTAAATAGATTCTCAGACTTCAAAATATGGGCAATCTCTATTTCTTTCATTGCCTTTGCTTGCTTCTTGAGCTTTTCCTCCTGGGCTGGAGTGATCTCTTTATGTAACTGCACAGTGATGTAAATCAGCTGCCTGATACCAGCTTGATTGTTTGGAATGTGAGAACTTAAAAGTGTTATATCCAATGGTGGCTTCACACCAGATGAAACACTTCTGGTCACACAAGACAGGGCTCTGATTTCTTCCAGACAGCCCCAACACAGTTTGCCTGAAAAGCTGATCCTGATGGTTGGGGGACCCCCTGGAATAGCATGGGATATGACACAGAGGGCAACAGCATGTGAAGGGGGGTCTGCAAAAACGGAATTCTTCATCTTGCAGAGCATAACTGCATTGTGCTAGTGAAAACCTGCCACTACATACTTAGCAAGCTATGAGAAATGAAGTTGCCTCAAAAAATAAGTATGGCTTCTACCACCTGTCTTTTGGAACAAAGATGAAGCAGCTGACTTTATTTGTTCCTAATACTCTTGTCATGTCATGACACATTCATGGGATGATGATTGAGATTCTCTCCCACCCCATTTTCATTAAAATCTTTACTAATCTAACATGTGTCATAATATGAAGAGTTTCCATATAGCCTGATCCTGGCTAATCTTGGAGGTTAGTCAGGACAGGTTAGAATCTGGATGGGTGAGCTCAGTGATTCTATCAACTGATCAGAGAGCTTCAGCTATGGGCGGTATAAAATATGAAATATTAATAGATGCAGACACAGGTTATACATCTTTTTTCATATCGAATCTTAAACTCTCGGCTCATAAAATGCAAGAATGGCTAACACAGATTCAGTTTCTGCAACAGAACAGATTTGTTTAGTAATATTTCAAGTGCCTGAACCAATCAGCTCCAAGCTTTTCTGTTTGCAACTGCAGGATCATAGTGATAGTAAGTCATTAAATAAAAGGTTGATACTTTCCACAGTGTAGTGTTCATGACTACAAAGTCCCTCTGTCTAATCTAGCACCAGAAGTACTCTGAAGCCAGTGGGCACTGGGTTTGCGCATTGGGGGGAGGGGGTTGTCAGGCCCCAGAAAGTAAGTCTCTGTGAACAAGGCCTGGGCAGAAAGAAGGGAAGCGCCATAGCTCAGTAGTACACAGGGCCAGCACCACCAATAAACAGAGTGAGGCAGCAACCTAAAGCAGTAGATTTGGGGTGTTATACAAGGACAGGACATTGCATGCTATTTAATTTGCAATTACTGCATTTTTACCTCCAGGAATGGAAAGAAATGCCTGTGGTATTTTTGCATCAGGTGCCGAAATAACTTGACCAGACATGGGTACTATGCACTTTGACTGTGTATGTGTGGGAGCACCATCTGCTGCTCTGTTTCAGGGAGCAAAATGTTCTGGGCTGGCACAGCACGTACTTTGCATGCACAAGGTCCTAGGCCAGTCCTTTCCATCTTAACTTTTTAAATGATCAAGTAGCTAGTGATGGAAAAGACATCTGCTTGAGACCCTGGGGAACAGCTACCCATCAAAGCAGGCAATACTGGGCTATCTAGACCAATGGTATAAAGTAGCCTTGTGGGAGGAACAATGTCACATCTCTCTTCCCAATTACCCATATATTCTATCCTGACGCTTGCAGAGGGTAATAGAATGAGTAAATATTGTTTATTTAAAACAAGTTCCAAGGCTTATGGTAAGAAAGAACAGACTGCTGAACAAAATAGTAACAAAAATAGACTGCTGAACTTTGAGCTAAGAGTCCATTCAACTTCATACTCATGGTAATCAAAAAGTAGTCATTCTCCAGTTTAATCCATTCAATGGCCTGTCCTAAATTTTAAAGCCTAAACCTAATCTGGCCTCAATCTCAATACTGCTGCTTCTCCTGAGGGAAGCAAAAAGCCTCCTCATCATC